ATTCAATTGGCCCTGCTCACAGGCATAAAATGTCCCCAGCAGAGGAGCCTCTGCTTTTCAAGCATTCCTTGAATCACTCACCAACCCATTGAATGCACATGAATTTACTAGCTGAATATTTACGTTATATTGGGTTGTTGGGAAAAGTCATGATGTATTTTTTTCTGTTTTTCTGTGCAAAAATGTGTCATGACTTTTCCGACAACCCAATAATATGAAAGAGTGGTGCTATACCAAAAACAAATAACTTGGGAGGCTCAAATAAGGCTGACTTTGTGTAGAAAAAGCTTGTTGGATGGAAAGATTTAAAAAATAATTTGTACCATCTTCCAGAGTCTATGGATATTCAAAATCTGCTAATGTTCTATGTCGGAGAAAGCTACAAAAAGCACTAAAAATGAAAGGAAATTAAAGGAGAAATTGGACTTCCTTTGAAATTTAAAAATCTCTTCTACTCATTAAAAGACACAGTTAAAAGGATAAAAAGGTAAGTCATGGACTGGGAAAAATATTTCCAACATATATCTGAGTCCTGCACTCAGTGGCTTGAAACTCACATAGGGCACGTTAGTACACCCAAAATCCCAGGAGGAGAATGGTGGAAAAGGAATTGAGGATGCCCATTTTTTTCTGTTTTTCTGTGCAAAAATGTGTCATGACTTTTCCGACAACCCAATAATATGAAAGAGTGGTGCTATACCAAAAACAAATAACTTGGGAGGCTCAAATAAGGCTGACTTTGTGTAGAAAAAGCTTGTTGGATGGAAAGATTTAAAAAATAATTTGTACCATCTTCCAGAGTCTATGGATATTCAAAATCTGCTAATGTTCTATGTCGGAGAAAGCTACAAAAAGCACTAAAAATGAAAGGAAATTAAAGGAGAAATTGGACTTCCTTTGAAATTTAAAAATCTCTTCTACTCATTAAAAGACACAGTTAAAAGGATAAAAAGGTAAGTCATGGACTGGGAAAAATATTTCCAACATATATCTGAGTCCTGCACTCAGTGGCTTGAAACTCACATAGGGCACGTTAGTACACCCAAAATCCCAGGAGGAGAATGGTGGAAAAGGAATTGAGGATGCCCATCCCCCTGGGGGGTGATTTCTCACTTTCCCTCTCATTGTCTCTCTCTGGTGCATGCACGCACCCTATGGCAAAAAAAAAAAAAGTTAACAAAAAAGTGGACAAAAACTTAAACAGATACTTCACGGAAGAAGCTATATATATGGTAATTAAGCATATAAAAGGCGCTGAATATCAGTTGCATTAAAAATCGCAAATGATACAATAAGATTCTATTTTGCATTCATCAGAATGGCTACAATGAAAGGGACTGATACTGACAAATGTGGAGGAAAAATGGAGCAACTAGAACTCTCAAAGCCTGTGGCTGGTAGGAGTACAAAATGGCGCAGCAATCTGGAGGACTGTGTGGCAGCTTCTTATCAAATTAAGCACACTCCTATCATATGGTCCAGCAGTTTTCCACCCAGCAAAATGAAAACAGATGTCTTCAAAAAGACTCGTACCAAAACCTTCGTAGAAGCTTAACTGCTGTTAATCAAAACAGCGAAGCAATCCAATGTCCATCACCAGCAGAATGAATGAACTGTGTTGTAAATAAATAATGGATATTACTTGGCATTAAAAATTCACAAACTACTGATACCTGCGATAACATGGGTAAACATCACAGGCATTAGGTTGTGTGAAAAGAAATCAGGCCCAAGAGTCTAAGCAGTAGGGTTCCATCTCTATGAAATCCAACGATAGGCGAATCTGATCTATGGTGACAGAAATCAGAACTGTGCTTGTCTGCTGGGGGACAGGAAGAATGGCCAGAAAGCTGCCTTAGAGAACTTCCTGGGAAGTGAAAAATGTTTCATGTCTTAGTTGCAAAGATGCAAGTGTATATATTTGTCAAAATGCAGCAAACAATTCTTATAATCTGTTTTATTAACATAAATCATACCTCTATCAAAGAAGTTAATAAAAAAGATAGTGCTGCATCCCAGTCTTAGAAATCCCAGGGGCAAACAGAACCAAACAGGAGCTACTCTAGAATCCTCCCACCTCAAAAAGTCCAGTTCAAATTCCATCTGCTTTGTGCTGTTTTCCTGGTGTACTCCGGGAAAGCTCTGCCCCAGGTTAAAGGGATGCCTTCCTCCTCTGACCCAGCCCTCTGCATTATCACATTACCAGATATGTTAGAGAGAGGGATGCACCCTTCCCAAAGAAGCCTGTGCCCTGATCTCCAGAACCTGTGAATATGTCACCTCAATGACAAAACGGAAGTAAGGTTGAGCAAATTAGCTACTATGGCCTGGATCCATCTGATTACACAAATCCTTAAAGTGGAAGCAGAGGAGGCAGAAGGGAGGATTAGAGAAATGCAAATGAAAGGACTGACCCACAACTGCTGGTTTTGGAGAAGGAGGAAGAAGCCAGGAGCCAAGGAATCCTACAGTCACTAGAATCTAAAAAAGGCAGAAATTGAATTCTCTGCCAGAGTTTCCAGAAAGGAACACAGCCCTGCCAACACTTCCACTTTAGGCTGGCAAGACCCATACCAGACTTCTGACCTACGAGCTGCAAGGGAATGTATCTGCATTGCCTGAAGTCACGAAGTTTGTGGCAACTGGTTACAGCTGCCATGTGTTTTAGCCCCTAAGCTCCTGAAGGGCAGCATTAAAACGTGGTTTATCTGTCTCCTCCTCAGGCCCCAGTGAGATGCCCAGGCCAGGAGGAGCTCAGGGAATAGGAGTAGCATGAACCTACAAGGACAGCTCTGCTCATGGCAGACCCCACTGTTGAGTCAGGGATCTGCTCCATGTTCTCAAGGTGCCTGGGACACAAGAACAGCTCTAAGGTGACCATGAGGGCCAGAGCCCT